CTGCTGAGATCTCTCCATCTGTCATTTTCTGGTTCAGAAAGAAGAAAACAGAAAAACACACAGGCACAGGCGTTAGTGTTAATTAATTCTGCGATTCGCTTTCTACGTCCATAAACAAAAAGAGTAGCATATGGGACGTTTTCCAGTACAAATTAATTAACTCTTGGAATATGGTTTTCCGAACTGCCAGCAGAGTGGTTGCTGCGGTGTAGATGGAGAGAAAGACAAAGTGATAATCGCAGCAGGAGCAAAACTGCTAGAAGAAGATAAAAACATGCCTTTGAATATCCAGATTGCACTAGCTAAGGGAAATTCAGGAATATAAAATGGTACGGCCATTGCCTTATCTCCGTGCTAAATCATGTCTCAGACGTGTGCAGTTTGTTTTGGGCTCCACAATCAATAATTGCCTGAGAGGTTCACAAGAACTGGAAGTGAAGAGCACAAAGCTGTAGCACTGCTGGGGTGAGATGGACCTCGGGGGACAAACCACCAGAAAGGAGATGAGAGAGCAGTTGGGATGGTCCTAACAGAAAGGGGAGTGCTCCCGGGCATCGAGCTGCCTGTCATAGCGCAGAAATCCCAACAAGGTCATCAGAGCCTACGGGAAACCAAAAGCCACCCCGACACCCATCAGGCTGTCCTGCTGTCAGCCACTGCTGAAACAGCATTGCTCCAGTGAAACCAGCTTATCCCCACTGAGGCTCGGAGCACCTCTCCCAAACCAACCCAAAGATACTGTGGCTAACAAAAGTCGGTGCACATAATAAGCTCTAAGATGGCCGATGCTCTAACAGATGCACGATAAACCTCCAGCAGTTCTTTGCAGGATGCTGTTCTCAGGTGCCTGCTGTGAGGCTCATCGTCCATCTCCCCTCCGCCCCCCACATCTGGGGCCACCTGGGTGCTCTGGCCCAGGTGCCCCCCTGCCCAGTTACCCACACAGCGTGGGAAGGTGCTACAGAAACCAGGTTCCCACACCCTCCTACTCTTCTGTGGCAACCTGGGCTTAGCATCTCTTTGGGGTTGCTTTGAAAAACCCAGTTGCACCTAGCACGGCCAATTGTTTGCATTTCTGTAACAAACAGAACGCTGAAGCATTTATTTAAAGGAACAAATCACTTAATAGGTTCACTTTTTTTTTTTTAAAGGACACTTTTTTAACATTTTCTCCCTCTCTCTTTCATTCATCTTATTTCCACAGGAATTTGTTCCTCCTGCAAATGTGGCTTGCATTAACAGTCTTCCAACACAGCACAGCAAAAGATGGTGGTGACCTGTTGCGTGGTTTTGCGGTCGGCATAAAGATATTCCTTTTATCAGATGGGTTTTGCTCCGAGAAACCTGCACCTCCAAAGTTCGCTGGCTGAAACATATATGGCTAGGGGTAGCTCCACATAGGAAGACTGCAAACCTGGCTACAGCTGTATTCAGGAATCCCACTGATGACTGTGTCGGAAGAGAGGATTAAGGGTGAGGATCTCATTCCCACATACGGTCCCACTGAGAATAAAAGAAGAAAGCAAAAGATCATCAAGGCCTGGCTCTCCGGCACAGACGAACGGGGCTCTCTGCAGATACGCCGTTGACGCTCAACAGGAAAACCATGGTAGGACAACCCCATCGGCTGCTGCAATGGAAAAAAGTAATCACCCAACAGACCTTCTCTGGTGACTGTTTTTGTCATCGGCTGCTGCAAACAGAGGCAAACGGTGCTAGCTAACCGTCGCTGCGAAGTTTCACATGATCGTATCTAAATCGTGCAATATTTTTCAGGGGTTTTGGGGTTTTTCCACTCAGGCAACTGAAGGATGAATTAAAAGCTGTACCCAGCCCGCAGCTGTAGGTACTAGCCTGATAGGGAAGATGCAACGGTGCAGAACGCTTCCGACCAGGGCTCGGTTTCAAGTCAGGAGATCAGATTTGGGGCCCCTTACACCACTCTTGGCCAGTTTTCCCATTTCTCCCTGCATCCAGCTGCTGCCGTAACAGCTCCAGCCACAAACAGCCTGGCTCCGCACTCAATAACTGCACAGCATTTTAACTGTCGCTGTCTTCGTTTTAATAAACACAAGAAAAAGCGAGAAACCTGCGCTAAACAACTACATCTATGTTTAGATCTTCATTATTTTCCCCCTGTATTATGCTGCCAGCAGAGAGATTTCTTGGGTCAGGTCAGCAGACAAAAGAAACAGAAATAGAAGCTGATTTTTCGTGGCAAGCTGCCACGATCCTCTGGCCGGAGACGTCACGCTGTACAAAAGGCCTTGGTGAGGAGGATACGGGACACCTTCCTCTTTCACCCTTGCTTCGGCACAAACAGCTATAAATCTTCCCAACCTTGCAAAGAGACCGGTAATTGCACCGTTATCCCCAGCAGCAGCTTGGGGTTATTTGCTTTTCCCCTTGCACCGTGGGAGCTGGTTTTTTGGCAGGGCGGGGAGAAGACCCTGGCACTGCCTGGCCCCTCCAAGCCCCCAGGCACCACTGACCGGTCCCTAAACTACCAGATAACCCAGAAAATGGTTTTTCAGTGCAAAGAGAAAACTATTTGCCCCGAAACAAATGGAAAATGGGGTAGTCGAAGGGCTGAGGGTCTAATTAAAGGACTCAGGAAAGCCTTATTGAGGAAAAGCGGCTGGTTTTCTGTTCAATTTTTTAAAACTAAGTTTCACATCCTGAGCATGCTGATAACGATAATTGCAGTGGAGCCATTAATACTGCTGCACTTGAGCATGTATTAATTTTCTGACATTACAAACCTCAACTCAGTTTACCCCGAGGCAGTAATTTGTTCCAGGATAAAACCCACCATGAGAACCCCTCGGTTCGTAAGTGAGCCGCTTCGCTGGAAAACTCCCCTTTGCCTATTGGAAAAACGATAGGAGAACCACCAGAGCATGATGTAAGGGTGGCACGAGGGTCTCTTCCCTGGTTAAACAGGTCCTTCTTGGCTGTTCATGTCCTTGGATGAAATAGCATCTTACTTTTGGATTTTCACTTAAAACCGCAAAAATAAACACTTCAAGTCACTTAATGAGCAAGTCCAGCAAATTTCTTTCGAGACGTTTTGATCTGCAAATCTGCATTTCCAGGGTGAGGCAACACAAAGTGGATTTTCTGGCATCTCTTCGGTTGTGAAATAGCTTTCCAGCTCCCAAGACACAGAGAGGTGTTATCGGCAGCCTGGGGAAGACTGAATTTCTCGTCCTGCCCTCGCTGGCTGCAGCAGCAGGAGCCTGAGCCCTCTGGCAAACCATGCATGAAGCAGCAAGGAATTCAGACTGGCGTGAAGCAGCATTAAATTCAGGTTACAGCTGCAAGCTCCCAGGCTGCCCAGCCTCAGGGGGACCCCAATGCAAACTATTTCTGCCTTCCAAAGCAAGGCTGAGACAGCTAGCTCTGATTCACCCCCAGAGAGAGCGATCCGAGCTCTGGCTGCCGCGTTGACCCCCCAGCCTGCACACCTTCCCATCGCCTTTCCCGGCCTCCGGGACAGTTTGGTGGCAGAGCCGTTGACCCCGGGGTGATGGGGAGCAGCCCTGCCAGGGATGCTCTGGGAGGGAGATGTTGGGTGTCAAACTGCCGGACCACTCGGGGTGCGGGTGAAAAGCGGCCGTCACTGCAAGCCGCAGCGTCTGCTCTCTGCGCAAGGCGAGTGCCTCGCTGGCAGGAATTGCTGGGCTGGGCAAGTGGCAACAAGCTCCGGCAAGCCCCGGCACGTCCTGGGCTCTGGCTGCCGGGCAGTCCTCACCTGGTTTATTTTCCCCCTCTTCTATTTTCAGAGACAAGCCAGAAGCCGCCTGCGTGAGAGCAGGGCTTAACCCGCCCTGGGACCACCAATAGCATGCTCAAACACCATCAGCACTGCTATCTATTCCTAAATTTCCTTTCAGGCAAAACCAAGACCTTCACACTTTTAAGGGTGAACATGAACCCTTACAACGTCCATCTGTTCTCCTGTGTGACCTTCACGGCAACAAACGAGCCCCACGGTCTGGGGTGCAAGGCACTCGCGAGCTGAAGTCACATCCCAAAATCAAGGAGAGGGGTGTTGTCCTCCAAACATCCCGAGGGCTTTGCACAGCCCTGCGGAGAATGGGATCCATCCTCAGAGCATCACAGCCAGATTCCCAAACGCTGAGCTCCAGGTTTTGCAGGAGCAGTGCACGGACACGCCAGGCACCTTGCAACTTCGGGATGGTCGCAGGCTTTTTAAATGACTGCCGTCCTCCTCTGGTGACACAGAGTAAATTTTAATGACCACGCTTATAACCACAGAGAAGGGTGTAAAACCAAAACGCTGACACAACTTTAACTACAGCGACACAAATGTGCTGCTATAATATTTTTACAGTTCCTTTTTATACATAATGCATGATCCTTCTGCTCAAGTTTCCTCTACGTTCTTTTCCTGTGAAATAATTTACATTAATACATAATTTATTACAGCAACTTGTAAAGCAATTACGGGTTTCAATCAATTTTTCTTCTCCTTTTTGGCAGATAAATTCTGTTTGGATCCTAACCCAAACATTTCTTTTCACACGGATGTGCATCCAATTCCTTTTTTTCCTATATTGTTCAAGTCGAATTTTGGTCTCCCGGTCTCCGTGCACGGGGGAAAAGGCAGCCTGCATTTTCCACTGCCCCCTGTTTATGTTTGAGAGATGATTTCTAAACGTGGAGCAAATTTAATGGTTGTAATTAGCCGATGGCAGTGCCATGGAGCCTTCCCACCGCAGAAATAAGATTAAAATACAATGCACGGAGCTGTGCTTCAATGGGAAACGAAAACAACAGCACCCAAATCTACTGCTGGAGAATAAAGACACCAGTGGGCTGCAGGCTCCTCGTGCCAACAGCCTGCATGAGGGAAGGAAATTCCCCACCTCGATGGCAAAACATGTCCTGCTTTTCAATGCGATCCTCTGGCGAGGTCTCCCCGTTCCAGCTACGCCTCGTCGGCCTTCCCTGCGCGGCTTTTTCTCGTTGTGGATTGATTGTGCTTGAACATGCACCAAGATGCTCTTCTACACTGATGGCTTTCAAAAAAAAACCCTGAAATCCCAGGAAATCCCAGTTCAGAAACAGGAGGTGTGCAAGCCCTGCATGGGGAGGCAGAGTGACGGGCAGGCACTTTCGGGATGCGATTGAGGAGCATCACCTCCCAGCTGGACTTTCTTCTGGCTTCTTGGCTTTCCTCCATCACCCATGTGGTGCGAGAAGTAATCTCCAGGTAAGAGGTGTGCAATGACGAGACCCAAGGCTGCAACTCCCCTGGCACGCTCGCCTCCCAGACCGCTGGCATTGCCAAACCGTGCCAGTGGACGAGCGTGCCGAAGGCCGGACGAGCTGACCTGTGCGCTCCGTCCATCACCCCGCTCTGCTGCAGTGCTCTACAACGACAAATTCTGGGGGTGCTTTGCAAGGGGAAAACCAAATGATGGTTACTTTTAAAAGAGTATTTCACAGAAGATGTATGCAGGATCCGTCCCTGATGAGCTCAAACCCATCCTCCCCTTCCTTTTACAAGCAGGGCTGTGCATGCAACACCCACCGTGCCGGGACTCTGATCTGCAACCAGGGCGATGGCACTCCAAGCACCTTGTCACAGCCTCAATAAAACTCTGCCTGCAGTTTGCCTCAAAGATAATTTCTTGCTTACACAGAAGACGGGAGGGCCATGGCTGTCGGCATGCGCCCACCGAGTTTCTCTTAGAAGGCTGGGCTACTGCAGCCTCTGGTGCTACTGATTTAGACGTTGAGTGATGTTTATATACCCGCTAGGGAAAGGTTAGGCAATGCTGCCAATGCCTTGTTAAAACATTGTAAATTTTGTTCTGCCATCCACCCAAAGACAGAAAAAATTCAATATAGGAAGTCAAAGGTAATGCCCCAACTTTCTAATATGCCAACGTCTTTCTCTAGCACAGTCACCGATATTTTCAGTGGGGGCATGTGATGGAGACTGAAGGGGGAAAAAAGGGAAAAAAGGAGAAAAAAACCCTATTCAACAACAGGACAATTCTTAACATCCGAGGTGTTTCAAGGACCCATCAAGGAGAAAGGAAAAAAGCAATTGTTGAATTTATAGTTTTAGGCATTTCACCTTTAATCTTCCTCCCCACAAAGGGCTATATAAAGATAAAAACAATCTTTTTAGTAATATTACCATCACACTGGCAGGAGTATTTCCTATAAATCTAAAAATCAAAAGATTATTTGGGTCACCTTGAGAAGTGGATCTAACATTGCATCATCTGACATATCAAGTCTTTAATAATGTTTACTCATATATTGAGTTATATTACAATCTATCATCAATTTTCAGATTCTTCCAGTGTTTAGTATTTAATGAGGTATCTACATCTAAGATGCATGGGCTTCAGTTTACTCTTTTTCCCCACATTATGCCATGGGCAAGCAGGACCCCAGCCTTGCCATCTTGGGCCAGCTGGGTTTCTTGGTCATGGTGCATTGCACACCCCTTGGGGCTTTGACCCAACTTCTTCCTTCTCCTTCCTGGAGATAAACGCTCCTGAGCTGATGCCTGTGGGAAGCTCCAGGGTTTGGATGATGCTCTCCCTGGCAGCCTGGCCAAGGCTGGGCTTCCCTCTGCCCTGCTGTCCCATGGCCACCAGGACCAGGCACGAGCTGCCTTCCTGCCCAAAGCTGCCCTCACCCCCAAAGGCAACCGGGAAGACCCTGTGCTAAGACCCTCAGCCTCTTCTGGCTAAAACCCCAGAAAATTCAGCCAACTTCCCTCCATCCCCCCAATATCATACACAGGACTATGAGTCTTTGCCTCCTGTTGGCTGCACTACCAGTCCAAACTTCACCGTGTGTATTTATCTCAGTGTTTTCCACAAACAGGGACTTAGCCCTTTGACCTGAAACAGTCCCCCAGTTTTGCATTCGGTGCCATTATAACCATGGGACTTATTTAAAAAGTCAAGCAAGTTCTGACACTGGATTAGTCCGTCATCATGGCCCATGTTTGGAGACACCAAGAAGAACACTCGGGAAAGATGCCTAAAATTAAACCCAAGCCAACCAATGCCCTTGCATGCTGGAGAGACTGAGTCCTCTTGACTGGGCATGACGAAGACCATTAACCTACAAGCTGTGGTCAAGGGGGTGATATTTGGTTCCCTCTGAAAGAGGACAATTTGGCAGCCAAGTAAGACCAGCATAGCGCTACGAAGATGCCGAAGGCTTTGTGAAAGCTCTTTAAGACAAGCTGCTTTTCAATTAGGTGTAGACTCCTCATATCTGTTGAAGAGCCTGCCAGTGCCACAGCGCAAGACAAAACCATCTGATTGGGTTTCTTTGTTCCTCACTCATATCTGACAGGCAGGAGAAAGGGAACGGGCTGTCTCTACCCTTTCTTGACATTGAAGCTTGGGGCTTTCATCTGAAAAAATCCAAATGCTTTCCATCTTTACCTCGCCTCCATGACTGGAG